GGGTTTGGTATCGGAGCGAACGTGTTTCGTTTAAACGAGAGACGGTAGGTAGAAACGACGATGCTGTCGACGAAGCTGTCTGTGGCGATTCGTCGTCGTCTCGAAAACGAACGTGGTACATCCTGCCGAGCGGACAAATGTGTGCGCTTCTAGGGGTCTTCGGGTATCATAAATAATACTCATCGGTTTTTATAGCTAGCCATTATAACTCAACGACAAGTCATTGAACACAGAGAAACAATCGTCTCCTTAACTCATTCTTTTAAATTATTATGATCGAAGAGAGTGGAGTTAACTCGACTGAATGTGACGACTGAATGTGATAACAGTGCGATATTTTTAACGGCTGAGAAATTTTTAAATTCTTTTTTAACAATTAAAATTATCCCTATTTTTGTTTGATTTTACTTCATACATATATTTTTACATCTCTTTTAACATAATTCGAATAAAAAAAAATTTTTTAAATAATGTTAATTTAAAGTTAATAGTTTAAATAGTTTAAACAGTTAATTTCAATCTGAAATTTTTAGTGTTATAATTCACAAGGTTACAAATTGGACAAATTTGATAAACAATACTCCTTTTTTGGCGTCTTAGAGAAATTAATTTCAAATTAGTCATAGAAATTGTAATTAATACTATATCCGGTGATACCGAGACTCTTTATGTGCGAAATTTGTATGCTTCGCGTGTTCTTGAGTTATGTTGCGATAAAATCGCACACATGGGCGCAATTTTTTCGGAAGTCGGCGAAAGAAATTTACTTGTGCCGGTGAATGCGCAACCGTTTTTTCTGCGATCTTTGCTGGAGATAAATCCAGCTCACACGAGTTCCGCTTGTCTATCGGGAAGATCATCGCATTCAGCGTGGGCACAAGATGAGAGTCGGGCTGCCGCATTTAACGCTAAATGGTGAACGATGAGAATGTCGACTGATGAAGCATTTGCGTTTGGCGTTTTTTCGCACGGGTAAGGAGATTTGGCACGATTATATCTGAAGGAATTGTTGGAAAGCTGACACCCGCGTCGGACCGATTTTTCTACACGTTACTCTTTGTCCGAAGAAAGTGAGAGCTAAAATATATAATGCAAACATTACACATTCACATTATATATTTTTGCACAAAATAGTAATGAAAAGAAGTAATATTTATTATACATATAAATTTTCGATATATATTATGTACATATTTCTACTAATTGATCATAATTCTTTTTTTTTTTACGTATTTTTATCTAAATTATTAGCTGTTATTATTACTAGCTAAATTGAGTGCAAACATTACACATTCACATTATATATTTTTGCACAAAATAGTAATGAAAAGAAGTAATATTTATTATACATATAAATTTTCGATATATATTATGTACATATTTTTACTAATTTATCATAATTCTTTTTTTTTTTACGTATTTTTATCTAAATTATTAGCTGTTATTATTAGCTAAATTGAGTGTATCAGTGATACACTTACGTTTACAGGAACTCTTGTTTATTTTATCTTTTAAACATATCAGAAGCAGTTCTCTCCCGAATTGTTCTGTACAACACAAGACTGTGCTTCGCGTATTAAAGCGAGTCTGTTTCCGGTGCTAACACTGAGAGCCTGTCCACGTGTATCGCGAAGCGTGTAATACAATCGCGATAATTTGCCGTGTAGTACAATTATTGCGAAATTAACCGCGTCTCAAGGGCGCGGCTTTGCTGACTTACGTTATGCGGCAGTGCGATTATTACGACATTAATTTCATTTTATGCTTCCTGTTGCAGGTCCAAAGGCGCGGAATAATTCGGAACAACGGCTCGCTTCACCTCGCCTCGTTTCTTGCAGAAAACAATCCTCCGTTATTAGACGACTGCAATAAGCGTAATCGCCGGCTTGAAAGTAACGTGAGTATCAAGTATACTAGATCGTCATCCCCTCTTACTGTATTCGCAGATTCTACACCGATCTCGTGACGATCGTTTTTGAAGCGTGTTTTCGTTCTATGCCACTTTCACGGAGAGAAAATTTCTCATGGAATTCTATTTTCCTCTTTTCTGTTATTGTTCCCTTTTACCTGGCCCGTTCAATGTTAGTTTTTCGCATTGACAGTGGATATAGAATATGGTGTGCTTCAAGAAAGAGAACCTGAAATAGAATTATCCTGACTGACTTGCTTATCCAAGTAACACGAGAGTTCAAACAGCATCTTCTAAACTGTTCGTCTGATTTCTGTTGTCTTGATAATCGGAATTATTTTGATGGGCGGTTTTACTTTATATTACTATGCGCGCAAAGCTCATAATTATGATTTATACTCTTTCTCTGCTATCTACTCTGCAAACATCCTGCAGTTTATACATAATAGCGCGAGTTGTAATATACCGTTGCGGTGAGATGGTACTCGACATTACTTCTGTGTCTATCATCTATCACGGTACGCTGCACACGAACCAATTAATCTTAATTGTACATTGGTATTGTACAAGAATGTGTTTGAGAAGGAACAATTACTTGTTCTGCTTTTCGCCAACAGAGTGCTATTATCCTTTTTTTTTTTTTTTCACGTAATACAAACTAATACAAACGCAATTCTGTATTTAAGGATAAATGTACGTACGAAAGTTACGACAACTGAGACGACTTCTGTTTCGATATCGAAATGCGCCAACCAAAGTTAAATTTTTCAAGCCACTTGTGCGAACGCGATTTGCCTCTCCATTGGCACAATTTTCGCAATACACTTCTGAATACTCGCCATCGTTTACGCCCGAACTGGTCGAGCTTTTCATCGAAACAGAATAGTAGTCGACATGAAAGGGCAAAAGAGACGGAAAGAGGGAAAAAGAAAGAATAAATGGAGAGGCAGCCTGTATGTTATCGAACGAATACGTCGATGTGTCGAGGCAAAATCGACATTCCAACTACTACGCGTGAATTTTTATATACGTCAGAACGGAAATTTGGGATAGTCGGTCTTACGGAGGTTCCGGGAAAAATAAAAATTTCGAAGCACGCGCTTTGCGAAATCTTGCTTTGTTCTAAGAAAATTAAGGAAAAAAATGAGGTACATATTGCGATGTTGGAACCGAAGGGCACGAAAGATTAAAGAGGAGGCAGTCTCGTTACCAAGAAATTGCGCCGAAAGTTTGAAACTATCAGGTATCCGAACTGTTGCTAATGGCATGTGTGTTTCTAATCAGTAGGAGTACGCCGGGCAACAGAAATTTTCGAGAGAAGGGATCCGACATTTGAGTCTCTTCGTGTCGGGAAATTGAATTTAATTTTAGTCCAGTTGATCGCTCAGAATTATTTTCGATTATTTTCGAATTTTCGAGTGCGATATCTTGGCTTATCCGAATCTAGCATACCGATTAGCAATTGTTTCAACTTCGCCACGTTTCCTGATTATTTTTTTATTTAACTTCGATATAAATTTCCATTTTGCGTCAAGGTTACTCGTTCAGCATGGCCGGTTATTGTAGGCCTCTTGTAGAACTGAATAGAGCCCCAAAAGATAACCAGGTTCTTGAACTTGTGTTCATAAAGGGACAAAAATTTTAAACCGCATTTTCAGACCCGACGGATTCGTCATATACGTTAGTAATTGTCTTCGGGTCTTTAAGATGCCGTCGAAAAAATTAGGTAATTAAGATGGCTGCTTGCCGCTGCATCTCCCGTCGTACACACCCCATTCGTTGCTGCACTCTCTCCTTGGTCTTTCGCTTCTTTGGTCGAGACGAGGTTTTTACTGCGCTGGATTGCTGCAGCACAACCGCTATGATATTGCATGCCGACAGAATTTTGGTGCCGTACGTGCCATATATGGGTATGGATATCCGCTAGTGCCTATTTTACTCCTCTCTGAGAATTCTTAATCCTCAGCGAGGTCGCCCGAAAACTACTTACCATCGAAAAACGTTGCTGGAACGAATAGCAAAATGTAAAAAAAGATAAAATCATTTTTTTTTAAGTGGAATCATATAGATTCCATTGTATCGAAAATGGAGCAAAATTTATGATACATGCAGAAGGCTAGACTGGTAGGATTCAGCTTTGGGAGTATTCAGCTCGAGACGCTTTTGAACAAACAAACCTTTCTTCGGATCAGTTTCAAACAGGGAAACCATTTTTCAACAGAACTGTATTGACTGCTGAACTCTTATGCTGCCCACCTATAGTGTAGCTATTGTCAAAAATGCAATGGCTCGTCATTCATAAGTAGCAAAAAAAAAATCAAGTTTAAATCTGTCTCGTATTTAGAATTAATTATTTTTTAATGAATTATTCTACTAAACTTACGTGCCTTAATTAAACATCTTATGTTTGGTGCTTTTAAGTCTGCATGACAAACTATTGTTTCGAAGTTGTTAATCCTTAAACACGGGTATCAATGGGGATATTCAAATTATGCAACAAAGCCGTATAGTGTAAAATTAAGCTAGAACGTTTAACTAGATTTCACTTTAATATAACTTTTAACTTGAGAATTAATTATACAACGTTGTTATATATTTGAAAGAATAATAAAAATATAGAACAGAAATAAATCAAAATTACATTAAAGCAAAAAACATTCCTTAATTAGATAAAGAATCCAGAACTTAAAGGATGATCGTAATTTTGAAATATTCTATATAAAACTCTCAGATTCTTATTTCTCTTTATCTGACATCGTCAGAAGACCGAAGAAACTTATTTTCGTTATCGTAATGAAATAAGAAACGCTGCTTTCTTCGTCGTTATAGCTGCGATTAAGACAAGAGAATTACTTCAATTTGATTTAAATGTTCGTGGAACGATATTATCGTTAAGAATTTTGAAAGAATCAGACTTCATTAAGATAACTTTCTTTTAAAGATAATTTTCCTTTTTAAAATAAAGTCAGATAAAGAAGCGTAAGAAGAGAAGATGAAACGTACATACAATATTCCCGAAATTACCATCATGATTTTTGAGTGAAGTGAATAGCGATTTTGGACTCGAGAATCTCGAGATTAAAAATCTCAGGCACTCCGCCGGGAGTGTCCGTGGTCCAGGCGAATGCCAGGATGCCGGTATCGAACGAAAATGTCGAGAAGGGAAGGGAGCGACGTATCGCCGACGGCGAGATCAAGAAAGAGCGCGTCTCGTACTACCGCGATAACTGGCGTGATTCCAATGGACAAAGCGAGCAGGGTGGCAAGAAGGGTGAAATAGAGGCGCCGACACAACACCCGAAAACGAATCCAGCCATTCTCGAAATAGGCACCTGGAATTCCGGTCCTCGGCAAGAGCTGTTCCTTCTATCAGACTTTGCGTTCCATGTCACCCGTTTTCTCTCTCTCTCTCCTTCTTTCTCGCTATGCCTGTAATCTGTGATCCTTGACTGCGCATGCCATTATCCTCGGCTATCATTAACCCCCTCAACTGCTGTAGTCGAATTTGGATAACGCAACCGATTGGTGGGCTCTAATAAAGAAATGATGCCATACTTATGTTAATGGATCGGCAAGCCACTTAGACTCCAGAGCGATAAGAAAGACATGAATGCTGCGTAAAATTATAAAGAAATCAGAAATGCAGTTAGCGATTCCTCTTGCATTCTTCTCAAATGCCTTATCAAATATTCACAATAAGAATTGCTTTGATCTTTCTATAATTGCTCAAAATTAAAGTTCGTTATCATGTAATTATTTTTTAAACAAATTTCTTGTTTTATATATTAATATAAAATTATTTAATATCGATGTATATATTAATATTTATGTTTATGTTAGGTGCACGCCTAACTCTCTCTTGGTATAAATTTCCTTGAACGAAAGTCTTTAGAAATGTTATCTTATCCCCGTTTTTTTTAGACAGAAAAGATATCTGCGATGCAGCACTTGAAATTAAAAGGAGTTCCACCGTCAGCCTTCTATGTCGTTTTGCGTAATCATTTTCGCGCGCATCACTTTGTTCCTGGGAACAAGTAAATATCACGCGGCGGTACGATTGCACCTTTCCACCCACACCTCTCCACAGCTATGAAGTTGAAAAGACCATTCGTGCGATCTCGGAAGGCATACCGAGATAGAACGGAATGGCGGGCGATGGCAAAGGAGGCGAAGCAGTGGAGATGGAGGCCACCGAGAAAGATACCGATGGCATTTAGTAGCTTCGCTCGGAACGTTTTAGATAATGACTGGGTGGATTACTAGGTCTAGACGAGGAAAGAGGGGAAGGCCTTTTTTCCTCTCGTTCGATTCCGCCGCTGCCGTTGCTCGGGTGAATCGAAACGAGGAGTGGAAACTGGACGGCAGAAGATCGGAGAATGAATAGTGAGAGCGAGAAAGAGTGAGAGACGTTGAAAGATCGACTGAAATGTAGGAAGAAACGAAGATGAAGGTGGTCAGTCGCCGTTCTGACGATAGCGAGCTTTCATTCCGAGGCATTATTCACATCGTTTGCCAGACAAACGAACGAGGTGGAAAATTCGCCGGAGCGAGAAACATTGCGTTTTCGAGTGCGTCGTCGAAAAAAGAGGAGTCCGCGATGTGTGTTGCCATCCCTTCGCCATCCCTTCGCCATCCCTTCGCCATCCCGTTCCAACTTCCAACGTGTAGTGACGGGTACTGCGCCGCGCCGGTTCGTTTGGTAGCCTCGATTTTTGTCTCTCCTCCGTTTTTTGTTCGACGTTTCTCTATTTGAGCACCTTTTTCCGGTGGTCGCAACGACAGTACAATACGTATATGTATCGTTTGCGAATCTCGCGAAGAGAGGTGGTATCATCAATGCAGAAAGGAGTTGACCAACGAACACAGAGTGATTCACTAAAATTGGTATATTTAAATATCGGGGATTGAAAGTTAAACGAACTTTTTCAATCTCTGGTTTTTCACGGGTTTTTTTCTCCCCCTTAAATGTAAAGTTCTAATTATTCTAATGAATGTTGTCGTATGGAAAAAGATTTAAAGCGATTTAAAGGAAGTGATTTAATGAAATGTTCTAATGAAGAACCGTTTAAGGAAACCTGAAGCCACAATTGTTTCGTTAGAGTGTCGTAATGAAGAAATATTTATAGAAATCTGAAATTATAATCGTTTTAATGAATTGTGAAAGTAAAAAAATATTTGCTTTCTGAAAACATTCTCTTAGATATGCTTCTCTATAGACAGAAATTTCATTTTGTAGGAAAAGATATTGTTTTATTGAAATTGAAAATAAAAATTAAATAATCAGTTATTATCTGCTGGTATTATGATTACATTTCGAAGAAAGATAAGATAGAAAGTAATTAAGAAATCAATATATTATGAGCTCAAAAATTTTTAAATGAAATAATTAAAAAAGGATTACGAGCCAAGCAGGATTGTCGGATAATAAATGTAATATTAATTATATAAATATATAATTTAAAGATTTTACTTAATTTTTCAACATTTCATATCTAAAGTTCGTATAATAGTATATTCAAAAAGGATATATGTATACATAGATAACCTGATTCTAATCGGTCATTCTATATAACGAAGAATTTTGTAGGGAAGAATGAAAAAAAAAATGCTGAGTATGTAATAGTTCGAGCTCTGCGAAAACTGGCTCTGCTACTGTTTTCTCTCTTTCTATTTCTTTTCGTTGAATGTGGTCGCGTATGTAATCGAAAAATATGAATTTGCGGACGATAACAAAAGAGCAGAATTGTTTTAGGAAAAATTGAATGCGACACACAACGTTGTGCTCGAACACGTGCGAAAATTAGATTCGTGCGCAGGATTGTTTTACGACTTTCTTTTTTTTTTAAGACCGTTTTTATACAATAACAGGAGATAGAAACAAAACGTAAATTAAAAGTAAAAATGTATAAAATGATTTTAAATCAATATCAAATCTTTTGACAGAGATATAAGAGATTAATACAAAACATTTCCCAAAATATTTCCCAAAAACATGTAAATCTTCTAATTTTTAATGTTTTATAATACACGATTTATGCTTAAAATCTTATTAACTTCATGATGCTAAAATAATTTTTATTTTTTTTTATAATTAGTCCATTTATTAATAGAATTTATATTATGGATGATTTCCGAAAAAAATATATGCATCTTTATAAAAATACTGTATCTTATAATTTAGAATCCCATATCATATAACATTTTAATAGCTTGGATTGAAAATTAATTAAAAGATCCTATTATCGAAATATCGAGTAGGCTTCGTAAGCAAGCCTTCAATTCGCCAAAATATGCTATTATAAATTATTGTACATTTTATTGTACATTCTGCACAATACAAAAGAGAATGTAATGCGTTTATGTAATATGAATAATATGATAATAAAATAGAATCTTTTTTTATTATTGTGGTAAAAAATTTCGAATAATAAAGTACAAAATTTATTGTTTATAATAATATTTAACGAGTCCTACATTTATTAATAATTTATTGCCATTGAAAAATTATTACGGTATCTCATTTATCGAATCTTTTCAATTAGCTCGCGATCGAATCTAAAATCTCGATTACGAATATAAAATTTTCACGGGATTTACTTAGGGATTACACACACACACATACTTCGAGCTGGAGTACCGAATTTATTTTTCATTTGTGTGAAATTGAATATAATCATTCGTGCAGAATATGAATTCGTGCGCAATTTTACTCGTGCTATCTAATAAGATCAATGAACTTTTCAACAAGGTAAAGCGAGAGGAGCCAATCACACAGGTTATAGATACGATACGATACTTTTAGAAAACGGATGTGAGAGGGATCATCTCGATTGTATTTGTATTGGAATTGAAATACACACGCACACCGGTGATCACTTCGGAATACCGATTACGTAAACTTGATAAAGCTGGTGTAGGGTGGCCAACAAACTCATTTGATGCTCACTTTGATGCTTTTTAAATACAGTGCAACGCAAGGTAATTAAAGGTTGCGAACGGTGCTTTCGGATAGAGGAATGGATGGTACGAACGAGAAATAGAAGTTAATCCCCAATGTGATGGTTTCCAAAGAGCCACCGAGTATCACGTGAAAATGTTACCGGAGAGTGTCGGTCGTTGCTTCGAATTAAAGTTGCGAGCATGTAATAAATATTCACAGGTTTAAATGCGCGTTTTTGTTTAATGGAAATGAGGAGCTGAATGAAATTATTTAGGAAATATATAATTTTGCGTGCAATTATCATGCGAGAAAATAATAATTCGAGCATAACAATAAAACGAATATTTCAATTAATATGTACATAATTTATGTAATATTGAAACAATACAAGACTTTGGCAGTTTTTATTTGCTATTTTATGAATGCCATTTGAAGCAAATTTGTCCGGGTTTGCTCGCTTGCTTGGTTTAGATTGGGCTTTACATAGTAAAAATTATATGGACAAAGAGATTTATTTATTAATTTTTACTGAATTTTTTGGAAATTACAAAGTTTTAGCATCTCTAGCAATTATTATTTTACATAATATTTTATTTTTTATATTTTATATTTTGATTCTTATTTCATTATATTTTAATTCTACCTTCGTCAATTAGTTATAAGTAATGAAAAAAAATTGTCCTACAATCGAAATATTGTATATTGAAGATAATTGTCATTTTATTATTATTTTATTAAAATAATTATCTAACTAATCGAAAATAAGAAACATGAATCTATAATATAATGCATAGATAGTACTAAATGTGATTGCATCTTATTTCTGCTTTCGATATAATGTACCATGACGTCCACGACGTTGTGTATTGGGTTTCCAATCGAAAGTGGCGATTGCAATTCGAGGTGACAGTTAAAGGCTTCTTATATACGCTCAATACTCACCTGCAGTCAATACTTACCTTTCGTTTGGAATCGGGAATAGATAAACGATGTTTTTTCAATATACAAGCTTTCTAGATGGATGGTCAGTTCTTTGTAACAATGAAACTTAAAATGTTTATTTTCTTTAAACATTGAATTAAATAAATATTTCTTCGGGATTTATTCTTTCTATAAATATACGTTGTGTTTAGTTAAAAGCTTAAGATTAATTCCAGATTTTTCCGTTTCAAACCATTAAGATTAAGAAAACGGGTCTTGTCATGTCCGAAGGGACGACAAATCATTGGAAAAAATAGATAAAAAAGAGAAAATGTAAAACAAGATATAGGAATGTAAAGTTTATATTACTTCAGAGAAAATAGTTACATTTTCCACAGATTACACGATTAAGTAATTCAGATAGATTATTTCTCTGCTTACAGATTTTTTAGAATATATTCGATGGAATCCAACAAAAAATCATTTTCC